TTGATTATTGCAACAGTTTGCTGAGCGGATGTCCGAAGTCAACAATATATGGGATAAAATCAATACAAAACAGGGCAGCGAAGCCTATAGTACAAGGAAAAAAATATGACCATGTGACCCCAATTTTTCGTGAATTACATTGGCTGCCAATTGAAAGCAGAATCGTTTTCAAAGTTTTGGTGATGATGAAACGATGTATGCAAGGTTCGGCTCCGAAATATCTAATGGATCTGTGCAAAAAAACACCAATAACAGTGGCGGGTAGATTCTTAAGATCTTCCAAAAAAAATGATTTTCAGAAACCGTTGGTAAACTCATCAATGGCGTCAAGAAGTTTTGCAGTGTATGGCCCAAGGATGTGGAATGATTTGCCAACAGAGCTGAAAGCAAATGAGATTGATGAAGTGATTTTTAGAAAAAGAATCAAAGCGCACTTGTGGGATAAAGCGTTTGTGAGAACTTGAACGAGCGCTATATAAACTCTACATATATATATATATATATATATATATATATATATATATATATATATATATATATATATATATATATATATATATATATATGATCACATATAAAAGCGGGATGCCATGCACACAAATTGACTTTATTGTTGTCAGACAACAACAGACGACTATTCAGGAATACAAAAGTCATTCCAGGCGGGGCATGCATCCCCCAACATAGATTGCTGGTGGCCGATATGATCATGGTACGATTACGCCCTGTGACAGATAGAATGCCTACTAGAATAAAGACATGGAAACTGAAGAACCAACCTCACATTCAGGGAGAAATTCGAGGAGTTGATATCGGCACAGCTGGATCGTCTGGAGAAGGTAAACATAACCTGGAAATCTTTTCAGGACACCCTAGTGAACGCTGCAACAGCTGTAGGTGGAAAATCTGGACCAAAACGCCAGAACAACCGCAAAACTTGGTGGTGGAGCGAGACGGTGCAAAATAAGAAAGCAGCTTTCAAACAAATCCCATCAATTTAACTTTGACGCTCCACCCATCGAAGGTCCGATTCCGGACATCACTGTAGAGGAGCTTACAGAAGCTCTGAAAGCTATAAAGGATGGAAAGGCAGCAGGGCCCTCTGGACTCACAAATGACATTATCAAAGCATCTGATACTGCAGGTATCCAAACGTTACTACAACTTTGCCGTGAAATCTGGAAAAATTGCTCAATGCCGACTGAATGGAATTATAGCATGACAGTTCCGCTATACAAAGGCAAAGGTTATCCATTGAACTGTTCATCATATCGGGGTATACGTGTGTTAGAACACTCCCTGAAAATTGTCGAGAAAATCATTGAGAGAAGATTAACGTCGTGCATCACAATCGAAAATTATCAATTTGGTTTTCTAGCGGGGAAATCAACAATTGATGCAATTCACATCCTTCGGCAACTGCAAGAGAAGTACCTCGCAAAGCATCAACAACTATCACAAATTTGGGTAGACCTTGAAAAAGCATTTGATCGAGTTCCCCGTGAAGCAATCAGGTGGAGTCTACGTCGGAACTCATTCCAAAATATCTTGTTCGACTTGTGATGGAAATGTATACGAATACTAAGACTCTGTCAGCACAACGGTTGGAAATACAGATGCATTTGAAATCGGCGTTGGAGTTCACCAAGGCTCGATTCTCAGTCCACTGTTATTTATAACTGTGATGGAAGAAATCACAAAACCGATACGCACTGGTGACATTTGGAGTCTAGTATATGCTGATGATATCGTTTTAACAGCCACGTCTGAGCAGAATGCAGCACAGATGTTTGAAGATTGGAACACCAGACTGGCCTAACCCTAACCCAACATCAGCAAAACCAAAGCAATGAACACTTGTGGTGGTAATTAGACCAAAGACCAACAGCTTAATCAGAACATTTGGATTTAATCCCAATTTGATCTACTATTGACCGGCTTATGTACATATAATTTAAAAAAATGTAAAGCATATTTTGGATAAAGTTAAGGACTTGAAAAGATTTAATTATAATCTAAAAAACCAAACTAAGAAAACAGAGAAAACATAAATATCCAACATATTTTTGGGTTCAAATACTATCTTTAATTATGTGTAATTTTAAAAATATGATGGATTCAAAGTCAACATCAGCAAATCAAAGCAATGAACACTGGTGAACCCATCCAATCCACAGTTACTGGACGATGGCCCTGTTCAGTTTGTAAAGCTGGTGTAGGTAACAATTCAATCAAGTGTCAGCAGTGTAACCAATGGTGTCACAAACGTTGTTCAAAAATAATTGGTACTTTATCTAGAGTGTCCAATTTTGTTTGTCCTGCTTGAATCAATCCACAACAACAAAATCGAAATAGCAATGTTTTTGAAGCCTTTAAGGTAGAGAAAGTCACATCGTTTCGATATCTAGGGGATGTTCTGGATTGTACTGGAACAGCTGAAGCTGCCGTTCGAGCACGCATGCGTGCAGCCTGGAAAAAGTGGCATCTCCTTGCCTCTATATTGATGCCGCGTGACATCCCACTACCACTACGATCAAGACTTTATAAATTTCTGATACGTCCGGTGTTGTTATATGGTGCAGAAACATGGCCAATGACAACCAAACTGAAACAACAACTTCAACGAACCGACATGAAAATGCTCCGATGTATGCAACGACTTAGTCTGAAGAACCACATCAAATCTACCGAAATACTGCGTCGTGCTGGTATTGATGATATAAAGAACGGATGCCGGCAACACCAGTGGTGTCACAAACACTGTTCAAAAATAATTGGTACTTTATCTAAAGTGTCCAATTTTGTTTGTCCTGCTTGCATTGATCCATAACAAAAAGTTCGAAATAGCACTGTTGAAGCCATTAAGGTAGAGAAAGTCACATCGTTTCAATATCTAGGAGATGTTCTGGATTGTACTGGAACAGCTGAAGCCTGGAATAAATGGCATCTTATTGCCTCTATATTGATGCCGCGTGACATCGCACTACCACTACACCACTACGATCAAGACTTTATAAATCTGTGATACGTCTGGTGTTTTTATATGGTGCAGAAACATGGCCAATGACAACCAAACTGGAACAACAACTTCAACGAACCGACATGAAAATGCTCCGATGGATGAAACGAATTAGTCTGAAGGAACACATCAAATCTACGGAAATCCTGCGTCGTGCTGCTGGTTTAGATGATATAAAGGACGGATGCCAGCAACACCGTCTGCGGTGCTTTGGTCATGTCAAACGAAGTGGAAACAGCGCCATAACTTCTATTGCAGATGTTGAAGTACCTGGCACACGTCCCAAAGGCCGTCCAAAGAAGTCTTGGTCGCAAACAATCGAGCAAGACATGAAAGCTATAAATTTAAATGAAATGGATACAACTGATCGTCTATTTTGGCGCAAAAAGTTGATGGCAAAGAAAACAACATCCTACCTCGGGGAACTGGGTCTCTGGACGCAAAACAAAGATTGATTGATTGATTTTCGGCAGCAACCAAAGTAACACAGCAGCCTCTGCTAGGATCCCACAGCTCATCTCAAGCGAGGAGGGGCCTAGAAAACATTAAGTCTTGTACTGATTCAAATAAGCAAGCACTAAAAAATTCTATCAAAAGAAAGACCCATGTAATTTTTTAAATAAATCTACCACATCTAATTAGACCAAAGACCAACAGCTTAATCAGAACATTTGGATTTAATCCCAATTTGATCTACTATTGACCGGCTTATGTACATATAATTTAAAAAAATGTAAAGCATATTTTGGATAAAGTTAAGGACTTGAAAAGATTTAATTATAATCTAAAAAACCAAACTAAGAAAACAGAGAAAACATAAATATCCAACATATTTTTGGGTTCAAATACTATCTTTAATTATGTGTAATTTTAAAAATATGATGGATTCAAAGTCAACATCAGCAAATCAAAGCAATGAACACTGGTGAACCCATCCAATCCACAGCTACTGGACGATGGCCCTGTTCAGTTTGTAAAGCTGGTGTAGGTAACAATTCAATCAAGTGTCAGCAGTGTAACCAGTGGTGTCACAAACGTTGTTCAAAAATAATTGGTACTTTATCTAAAGTGTCTAATTTTGTTTGTCCTGCTTGCATCAATTCAAAATAGCAATGTTTTTGAAGACAATAATGTAGAAAAAGTCATATTGTTTCAATATCTAGGGGATGTTCTGGATTGTACTGGAACAGCTGAAGCCTGGAATAAATGGCATCTCCTTGCCTCTATATTGATGCCGCGTGACATCCCACTACCACTACGATCAAGACTTTATAAATCTGTGATACGTCCGGCCTTGTTATATGGTGCAGAAACATGACCAATGACAAACAAACTGGAACAACAACTTCAACGAACCGACATGAAAATGCTCCGATCTATGCAACGAATTAGTATGAAAGACCCCATCAAATCTATCGAAATCCTGCGTCGTGCTGGTTTAGATCATATAAAGGACGAACGCCGACAACACCGTCTGAGGTGGTTTGGTCATGTCAAACGAAGTGGAAACAGTGCCATAACTTCTCTTGCAGATGTTGAAGTACCTGGCACACGTCCCAAAGGCCGTCCAAAAAGTCCTGGTCGCAAACAATCAACCAAGACATAAAAATTTAGAGCTTTCTAAATTTAAATGAAATGGATACAACTGATCGCCTAATTTGTTGCAAAAAATTCATGGCAAAGAAAACAACGTCCTACCTCGGGGGAACTGGGTCTCTGGACGCTAAACGAGAATTGACTGATTGATTGAATTTTAAAAATATGTGGTATAATATACTCAACAAAATTAAATGGCATAAGTATATTTAAAAAAACATCCGTAATAAATAAAATACGAAAAAGAAAATAGTCTGATTAAGCTAATATACTAACCAACATAAAGAAAAATTAGTGAAGAAAATAGTAGACCAGATAACCCGGTCCCCTGGAGCACTTATGACCAATTTAAAATAATATTTCATTATATATGAATATTATAAACCTTATTGAAAACCCAAATTTCACCATTCGAAGTAGGTTTAGGGACGCCATGTCCATTGTAATGAAAAAGAACTCGTTCATCTTTAGCATTCCTTCTCAAGGACTGACATAACTTTTTGATATCATCAGTAGTCGGGTCTAGACTTAATTTGTACCTTTAATACATAACACGAATCATCAATTAACTTTTAATCAATAGCAATAAAAAAAATTAACCAATTCAATCCACCTGGCTTTTGGTTGCCATCTTTCATACTGCTTTTGAAGTGCTGCTCCTATAATTTCAATAGGTTTTTGAACATTTCCACCATTAACCTCACCAAGTCGGGAAGTATCTGAAAAAATTTTTAAATTCATAAGCTTTCGCTATAAATATTTTTATATAAATTTTTTCTTTGTTGTGTTTGTTCCATTTGTTTCTTTAAACATTAATAAATAATAGTTTTTGTATGATCAACTTGATTCTTTTTTAAATAACTGATGAGCTAAATAGCTATATTTATTGAAGTTTCAAAAGTGAACAAAATATTGGGTGAAAAAAACACGAAATCAATAAGAAATTACAAATAAAAATTATTATTGCATGATTTATAGAAAATAAATATACATAAACATCCAACAAACCTATCCAACATTGTTGTCTGGCACAAGGAGATATTTTAACAGTGTCTGGGGGGTCAACGCCTATATTCAGGCACAAAACTAAAGCAACACTGACAGTTTTCATCTTGAGTTAAATTAATTTAATTATATATATGTTTGTGTATATATATATATATATATATATATATATATATATATATATATATATATATGTACAAACAACAACAACACACGTTTAGACGACATTTTCCCCGAGATCGGGGGTTGCTGTTTGGCTACCTATGATGAAACCGAAATACCCCTCGACGCCATTCACATCTGTCACTCGCCTCAGTATCACGCAACCCCGCTTTCACTATGTCCTTCTCCACCTGCTCTCTCCATCCCAATCGCGGACGACCCCTTTCTATATATATATATATATATATATATATATATATATATATATATATATATGAATCATTTGACTAAATAACCAGTAAGCCAAGAACATTTGGCTAAATAACCTGTAATCCAAGAAGAAATATTATCGCGAAAATGTTCGAAATTTCGCAATGAACAAATCGTGGTTTATTAATGTCAAACGCCTTGCTGAGATCAAGAAATAATCCCAGTGTAAGCCGTTTATTGTTCCAATTTTTTAGCATTCTATTGTTATTATTATTATTATTATTACGTTAAACAAAGGCGAAGACGAAACGTCCCTGTGCCTTCTCAAAACTAAGACAATTTTAAAACAATAATTAAATAAACCTATGAGTCTATACTGAATAAATTTAAAATAATTAATGTTCTTATAAGTTAAATAATGTATTAAACCTCGTAAAATAAAAAAAAGATAATAATAAAAAAAACAAATATAAATAAATAAATTAAATAATCACATATCCTAATCAATAAATTGACGATAATACTGATACATACTGATAATAAAAATAAAAAATTGAATATATCCCAATCTCACAAATAGCCAATGTCACATCAAGTATCAGTTGCCCTCCAATCATACATAAATCTGGCATTCATAAGATAAGTATCCAACTTTTTTTAAAAATCATTCACATTATCAGCATTCACAACATCGACACCCAGATTGTTTCAGATACAAATTGATCTATTGATGAAGTATTGTTTCCTCAAGTTCTTATGGAATGGAAGAGCAGTCAATTTAATTTCGTGTCCTCTTGTTCGTCCCCCAGCTTTCATCATTACTGGGAGGTCACGTTGATCTTTAGCTCTAAACAAGTTATACATCATGATGAGATCCCCTCTAATGCTCTGTATTTCAGTGTTGGCAAGCTCAAAAATTTTAGACGATCTTCATATTTCATATGTTCGCAGGCCTTGATCGACTTTGTTGCTCTTTTCTGGACCCTTTCTATCACCTGTTTCCCGTACTGTCCACAGAGACCAAACACAAGCTGCATACTCTAGTTAAGATCTGACTAAATTTTGAGATATTGTTAAATGTAGTTCATCAGGTAATTATAGTATTTTTAACAAAGGAACTCTAAGTTCCATTGTTTCTTTGTTTGAGTAATTTCTTTATTGGTAGAATCGTTACAGCCATATATGCAGCGGTATTTACCACCGACAGAGTAAAAAAGATATGCTGTGGTATTTAAAGTGGGCTTAGTAATTTTACAAATATTGAAACATTGGATTAATTATCATAGGCAGGTTTTACTTTTTGGTAAAACCTTAGGACACCACCTGCAAGTTGTTACATAGAATAATATTGAAGATCTTGAAGTTCTTTTTCTTGTAATAAATTAACAAATTTTTTAGAAATTGTTTGAATGTTGAAAAAAATGAAATGAAATCATTATTATTAAATGAATTAGTTAAAAAAATTATCAGTAAAAAATGTTAATTAATATGTTTGATGCCAAATATGATAAGCTTATATATTAAAATACAGATTAAATTCAAATAAAATACAGTTTAAATTTAAATGAAATAGTTAAGCTGTGCAATTTCTTACATGAAAGAGCTTTAATATAAAAAATTTATTGTCAATTTACATTAAATATGGCAGTTTAACCCTCAGTTAAAAAAATAAAAATGGTTGAACTAGATGTTGTTGGGTTGGCAAAACAGCACGGTTTGGTAGCATGCAATGCAATAGTATAAAATGATAATGCCAGGTTTTTGTAGGCATTGATATGCAAACTCAAGATGCCTTTCTGGTAGAAGTAGAAAGGCAAGACGCTGCTTATAGCAGCATCACACCCATAACCAGCCTCTATACCATCAAACTGTGAATCACTCATTACATTTGAGCAGTAAACGGAGTGCACACAAATGGGTGGAGAATTTGTAGCGAAGCGCCAAACAAAAATTTAAAAGGATGAATGGTGTGTGTGCTGCTCATGTATCATCATACCTTACTGAATTTATGTGGTGGCGTACTATTGCGAATTGAAAAGAACGGTTCCAGAAAGCACTGGCACTTATTCAACATTATTGTAAATTATGGCACTTTATTTTTTTATTAACCATTGTCATTATTTGATAATTCTTCTATTTTTATTTTTTAATGAAAATATAAAATGCAAATAAAATTACAAATAGTTTTTATGTTTATAAGAGTTTTTTAAAATAAAAAATTATGATATTTTTTAGAATATTGTTAAAAACTTTAAAATTAAAAATTAAAAATAGAATGAAACGCTTTGGGTAAAACGTGAGATAGGTACTCCTATGGTATCATCCATATTTACAATCATAATGTACTTTTAATAAATTGACTCCGCCCATTTTTAATTATCTAGCGTTTGATTATTTATTTATATCGAATTGAAAATAATTTAACTAGGTAAGTTTTTCAGATCATTACTTGTCCAATAGTTGAAATAGTGAACATTAAATAAAAAAAAAAGTTAAAATATGAGTAAATTTCTGTTTTGATAACAAATAATGGCTTAGAAGTACCTATCTCACGTTTTACTGCGCTTCGGTTAGTCATGAATATTAATTAGTAAAGGCAGAGTCAAATTTAAAGGTCTACAATATTATCCTATGTAAACAACTTGGGGTGGTGTCCTAAGGTTTTACCTTACTTTTTTACTGATAGCACATATTAAAATTAAATATAACAAATAAATAAATAAACGTACTCTTTCCTTCATGCGCCACGTCTGAGCAATAGTTGTACAAGGTCTCAAAACACTACAGTGTCTCTCAGATGTAAAAACTTGTTTTTGGAACCAAAATCGGTACAAATCTTCATCATCTCCAGGTTCATCTTCATCTAATATACGACCAATTGGTCTTAAAACAAACTTGCCTTTTTCATCCATCACAATTTTTTGTTCAGCAAATCCTGTCTATTTACTTTACGGAGCAGATCACAAAAACAAAAATTTTCGTGTTTCAGTTTAGCGAGAATAATTTTATATATCAAATCTAACACAGATCTGTGTAAATATGGAGAGCCAAAATAGTTTTGAGTTTCAGCTAATTTTTCAAAATTAAGTAGTTTATCTAGGCCATGGATATAATGGATATGGCATAAAAATTAATTTATTGCAAAAATTGTTTTTTTTCCTATGGATCAAACATCGTCGTTGTCTTCTTCAGCGTCTTTGATTAATCGTCTGATCTGAACTTATCGCTTGCGAAGTTTTTGTCTCGTTTGCAGTTTTAAATTCAATTTCGTATTGCATTTTATATATTATATACTATGTTTAGTACATTTAAAAAAGAAACGGGATTAGTATAATTTTCTGCATTTATACATTTCGTTTTATACATTTTCCATTCTTACATAACATACACATACATTACATACACATACATAAGTAGTTAAGTACACATGACATGACATTGAGATTACATTAAATAAACTATTATAAAATCTTAATTCTTAACTTGTCAAAATAATATTAAAAACAATAATACATTTTAATTAAAAAATATTTGCTTAGTTTTTGATTTGACAGACACAGATTCTCAACCAAGTCAAAATGCCTGTGTGTTTCATTATAAAATGTCACTCATCTTATTTAAATGAAAATGTTACTTTACACAGGTTAAATTAATTTAGACTATACTATACACTATACTATAGCTATAAAGTATAACACTATACAATATAATTATAATAATCAGCAAACAATTATATATAATAATGTAGTATAATAAAAATAAATAATATTAGTAACATAATGAATGCATTAAATGGTAATGTTGACTCAAAGTTGTATAAATAATTTGTGCTGATATTAATTAAGTTAAATTTAAATTCAGACTGCCAAAGAATGATATTAAGAGAATGCAATGGGAAAACCTCATTAAAAAATACATTGACAATTACGATGAAAAAAAAAAGATTTTAATTTGTAGCAAACATTTTACACCGGAAAGTTTTCATAAAGTTGGTTTGAAAGATTTTCTTCAAAAAGATGCTTTTTCAACAATATTTGACAAGGTTAGTGTTTTGTATATAAAAACCAATCATTTCAAGTTTCAGTTGTATAATTTAAATGTTTTTAAGTTAAAATTTTGAAATTAAGATATTGTTGTCGGCATAATTTTTCTGAAGTGTTCTTTATTTATGTTATGAATTATTATATACCAAAAATAAACTTATTTTAATTTTTTAAGTTTGTAACCAATAATCTGGTTCTATAATAATTTTAACATTTTGTATTTTTAGCCTTCTTCAGATTTAAAGTCAGTTTCCCATAATATTTCTGCAACATTAATAACCGATGTGATGTCAAGTGTAAATTTGGTTCGTATTTTTATATATGAATCTGAACTTAGCCACCAGCCACAACGACCGACCTATATATTATGTGCGCGGAGAAATCGTGAAAAAAGAGAGAATCATCTGCTTAATGCACAGCAGATGTTCATATATGTTACTAATAATTGTATAGCTATATTAATCTTTAACTGATCATTGAAATGTATGAAAAGTATGTATTCTATATATTTAAGCAACGCATGTATGAACAATGATTGTATGATGTATTAAACAACATAAAGAAATTGACCGTAGAATGAACATAAAAATCGATTAAAAATATTATTAATTGCAGCCTCAAAAAAAAATTTTTACCGCTGATGTAGAATTAAATTACCTTTCTAACAATATATCAGCCACTAAAAAAACAGCCTTCCAGGGTGTTCAAAACCCAAAAAACTAACACATTTTTTTGTACATCAAATCACAAAAATATTTTTTTTCACTATTCATAATTGCGGCCTCAAAAAAAGATTTCTATCACTGATGTAGAATTAAATTACCTTTCTAAAAATATATTAGCCACTAAAAAAACAGCCTTCCAGGGTGTCCAAAACCCAAAAACTATCACATTTTTTTGAGTATCGAATCACAAAAATATTTTTTTTCACTATTCATAATTGCGGCCTCAAAAAAAGATTTCTATCACTGATGTAGAATTAAATTACCTTTCTAACAATATATCAGCCACTGAAAAAAACAGCATTCCAGGATGTTAAAAACTCGAAAAACTAAAACATTTTCATTGCGCATCAAATCACAAAAACATTTTTTTTCATCATTCATAATTGCGGCCTCAAAAAAAGATTTCTACCACTTGTGTAGAATTTAATTACCTTTCTAACAATATATTAGCCACTAAAAAAAACAGCCTTCCAGGGTGTTCTAAACTTGAAAAACTAAAACATTTTCATTGCGCATCAAATCGCAAAAACATTTTTTTTTACCATTCATAATTGCGGCCTCAAAAATAGATATCGAAACAGAAAGATATCGCTGGGCAAAATAAAATTTTACTCGCAGACATGTTGGTCGGTACTATTGGTCTGCCATCATCGCTTTTATTTCATTATAACACATCAACCCTAGATAAGCATTTATTGCTAGGCTGACTCTTTCACTTTATTTTATTGTGAATAAATGGATCAACAACAAAAATTAAATTACACGTTCCTCTAGCCTGTGTATGCGTGGGTGTGTTTGTGTATGTATTATGTTTGTGTATGTATTGTGTTTGTGTGTGTATTGTATGTGTCGATAATTAACAAAATAACCCAACGATATCTTTAACAATTAATTCAATGATAAATTTAATTGACTTCAAATTCAACAATGTTCGTTTATGTCTATGTGCGTTTTATTCAATGGGCTTTTTTGGTTGTGCAATTTTTTCAGTTGAGTAGCACCTTAATTTTAAGTATATGTAGTTGATTTAAATTTTTCAAATTATTTATTTATTGCTAATGATTAACAAATAGAATTGAGTTTCTATATCGTTATTGATTTAAAAAAATGCAATGTGTGTTCATTGTGTATGTTTTTCTACAAATACAGCAGAAAAATAATAATTATTATCTAATATTTACACCACACAAAATTTAATTTAATAATAAATAATAGAAATTAATAGGATTATCAAATACACACAACTACAGTATTATATATTTTTATAGCATCGATATATAACTATATAATTATATATACACGTATATATGCATACCTGTTAGCTGCCACTTAAAGAGCATATAACATATAACATAATATAGCATATAAGCTTATAATAACATGCATACATGTCAGCTGCTACTTAAACAGCATATATCATATAACATAATATAACATATATCGCATATGCATGCAGGCTTGCTGTACCCTCTCTCTTTTACGTTTATCTCTTTTTAACGTGTGTATAATTGGCATCGAAGATTGCTTATAAAATTATATAGGTCGGTCATTGAGGCTAAGTTCAGTCTCTTTTTTTATTTCAATATATTATCAAGATTGTGTTGCATTTTAAGCCACCAAGTTTAACAAATTTCAGTTTTTATTAAATATTTTTAAAAGTTTGCTTTGCGTTAAGTTTTGTTATATTTATATTAATACATAAGAGGCATGTTTATATTGTGGTCAGTGCTATAAGGCGTGCGGAATCGCACGGCGAATACGCCGCAGAGATGCTATAAAAGGCGTGAAAAATCCGCACGGCGAATTGAACGTGTTAATGCTATAAGGCGTGAGGCCGCACGGCGAATTCGTCGTTGAGATGTTATAAGGCGTGCGATTCGCGGGTAAATACGACGCTTGAAATTATAAATTGTGAGGCATCTGCACGTCGAATTCAACGTTAAGATGCTATAAGGCGTGCGAATCACGAGCGGGCGAATACATTTGAAAGGTGTAAAGCGTGAGACTAGCAATGCGAATTCGACGTTAAGATGAAAATGAAAAAATAACCCTAACCAGCATGCCGAATTTGACGTTGAGATGCTATAAGGCGTGCGAATCACGAACGAGCGAACACGACGTCATAAATCTTGAGAAACCCGCACGTCGACTTTGAGATGCTATAAGGCGAATCACAAACGGGCAAATACGACGTTCGAAATTATATATCGTGAGGAACCCGCACGTCAAAATGTTATGAGGCGTGCGAATCACGAGTGGGCGAATACGACGCTTAGACGGTGAAAAGCGTGAGATTCGCACGACGAATTCGACGTTGAGATGGCCGAAGTCTGTACAACAAAGTTGACGCTATTTTGACGATACAGGACGCAGTCAAAGCGCAAAATTTGACGTTTATTAAGACAATATAAAGCATTTTTGTTATGGAATAACAATTTTTAAAATAAAAAATTTATTGCATCAAATGTCGTAGAGTAACACACACAGACAAACACACATATTTACACAGTAATGCACGCGGGTACATTGTTCATGTGTTAAGACGAAACAGTTACCAAAAGACCCAAGATTGTTATATCAACGCTGTCGACAAAACCACGTCCCTTTTGGTAGCCTATTCATTTCAACACATGAATAGTGAGTGGTACCAATTTACGCAGCCATCACACTGCACCCCCGAAGTACGAGTTTGGTTGTCTCTTCCAGAGTGATGTCTACAAACAACACAAACATACAAATTTTGTCCAATTGACCACATCTTATTTTCTAATTTTGTCCATGCTTCATTGGAAAAGTATTGTTTCAAGGTGGACATATTAGCACGGTCATCTGTGCATCTTGGATCAATTATTTTTTTAACATCGTTAATTGATGCTATGCAATCCGTCTGAACACAGTTTTTGGCTGTTTCTTCAGATAACTATAAATAAACAAAATTTAATTACTATTAATCATCATTAAAAACTTCATTTTAATTTTTTAAATTATTATTATCACTTGCAACATACAACAATAAACAAAATTTTATCATCACTAATCATTATTAAATATTTCAATATAATTGTTATTACTACCTTCCGATTTTTGCAGTATGCCACATTAACTGCTGCAGTGCAACCACACAACAAGGAAACTTTCTTTCTATCACACCAACGGCTTTTTCCACATTCACAAATCCATCTCCTAACTTTAATGACTCGGAACTCATTTTTTCAAATTAGAGTTATAAAATAACAGATTTTATTTTATTTAATTAAATTATATCAAACAAAACAATAAAAATCAAGCGAATCTTCAAAAGCCTCGCCGCTCACAACTGAAAGAAGAAGGAAAATGAATTCTTGCCAAAGATAATAAATAATAGTATTACGACGCGCAAATAAAAATTTATTTAAAAAAATTTTTTTTTTAATTTATTTTCAATTGTAAGTAACGGAAATTTTTACAAATACTTTTTAAAATAATATTCGGCATAAAAAATAATTTTTGAACATATTTTTCGTACGCACGCCTTATAGCAGTCTAACAAGTTCATGGTCGGCGTGCGGCCCGCACGCCCGATAGATTTATCGTTATATTGTATGCATAAGATAGAAATTAAAAGAATTAAACATTTGTCTTGTCGTTCTGACCGGAGATGCCTTGCAAATAACAACATATATTCAAAAACGTCCAGTGTTAATTAAACTCTAATAATTTAACATTTCAGTTACCCTCAACATCATCGCAGCCAGTTGAAAAACCATCCACATCTGCTGTTAAATTGGTTTGTATGTTTGACAGGTTATAACATTATATATATATCAAATAAAATTTTTCATCCAAGATGTAAAGCTGTGCATGTCTAACCTTTAGTCAAAAAAGAAGACTTTTTTTGAAAAGCAGAACACACAAATCTGAGTAGGTTTTGCACAGGACATCATCTTGGTTTGAAAAATTACATGAAAAGAATCGGCCTCTGTGAATCAACTACATGCAGACTACGTGGCACGAAAGATGAGGATATGGAGCATATTTAGACTCGATGCGTGTTACTGACAGATTTGAGAATTAGATATGGTTTAAATTAAAAGGAAGCTTGAATGAATTGACCACGACACCTTCTGCTGCTAATTAAATTGTTAAATGATGTTTTTTGCAGACTGGAGAAGAAACAGATGGAGTATGAACCACTACAACAATAACAGCAGCATCTCCGTCAACTCCAGCACACCCGTAGCAATCTACCGGCACCATCAAAAACCGATCTACCAACTCAGAGAACCGCAAGATCGGGAAGGACAGTTTGTCTCCCATCTCGATATCTTAGCTAGTATCGATCAACAGCATACGCTGACGATCTGATGGGAAAGTGTTGTTAGACCGCACATCCTATTTTAGGCACGTGGCAATTTGCTATAAATACCAAAAAAAAACAAGGCAACTTTTTTTACAACTTTAACGATGGAACTCTTCGTTGTCAATTCGCATTGTCAAACACGTTTTCTATATTTTATAAATAAAATATATTATAAACAATTTGCTTGTTACTTCTTATATTGCAAGAAATCTCGCAACAATTTTCTCATTCTCACTATTTCATAATACCTGTTAAATATTAGTGTACTAAATCCACTTTGGCTAACTTTGGTCAGTTTTTATAAAATTCTTAAATTGTTGCTTTTGTAGGAATCAAACATTCATTTATTAACTATCATATATATGGATATTGCTGCTTTGATGCTGCCAGAGAAACAAGAAAAGCTGGTCCTCTTGGTGGTCGAGTGGCTATAATTTTGAAAGACTCCTATCGTTCTACCAAGATCGATATAAAATTTAATCCGAAGACGTTTGAATGCCTATGTGTATCATCGCTTCCATTTTGTTCCAATAAAATTAGTTGGGTTTCCATCTACAGACCTGGTTCATCACAAATCACATCAACGTTTTTTGATGAATTTCGTCAACTTCTCAAAAAACTCACAGAGCTTGGTGGTCAGGTTGTCATAATGGGCGATATCAACATACATCTTGAATATCAAACAGAGGCGCATGCTGTTCAGCTAACCAGCCTTCTGACAATGTTTGGTTATCTTCCACATGTTCAGACACCAACGCACAACAAAGGTGGTTTGCTGGACGTTATCATTACCAGGTTTGAGTTCAGAGTTCACAACATCATTGTCGATCCGCCAATCATATCTGATCACAGTTTGTTATATGGTTTGCTGGATATTGAACTACCTAAAACTACATGTCTAGTCAACAAAAAAGTTCGAAACTTTAAAAGGATCAATATAGATAAATTAAAAGATGCACTATCAACGACTGATCTTTCCACTCACAAAAAATTTGTAGGTCGCAACATTGACGAACTTTTTGACATCTGTGATACGCTTTGTGAACTTATGAACAAATATGCACCGCAACGAGAAATACGGATTCGTATAAAATCGACACCCTGGTTTGATGATGATTGCCACAAAATTAAACGCTGTGTACGCAGGTTGGAGAGGGTTTATCGTCGCACCAGAGATCACTCTGACCTAATTCGGTAGAGGTCAGAATCGTTGAGGAAACATAAACTGTTTGCTTCAAAAGAACAAGGTTATTGGGAGTCGTTAATTACCTCAAACTTCGTAAATTCTAAAGTGCTGAACTAGTTCTTACTTATTGATCACCTCACTTTTATCGATCACCTCACTAACTCACTAAGTCATCATTTAGTCTATTAATAAGTCACCAAATATATTAATACTCATTAAACTTTTTCACACACAGGCCTAGCCTTTATCTATCGATCACCTCACTAACCCACTAAGGCATCATCTAGTCTATCAATTTGCCGTTACTTCATTTTATATTCCATCGTCAATTACTTTTTTTTTATTTGTCTTATTATTATTTATTTTATTCTAACATATTTTATTTTTCATGTTTTATCATTTCTCTTCCTCACTTTTTGTATTTATTTTCTCACTTATTTGTTTAATTTTGTTCCACTGCCTTGCATGTTGTTACAGTTTCTGCGTCTGTCAGATCCTGATTTTTAAAGAATAATAATAATAATAATAAAAAACTGGGTAAATAAATAATAAATGGGTAAAAAAAAGACAGGCGCGTCGCCAACTGAATCCATCTTGGCTGGTGACTACCTGGGGTACATTCTTTCAAAATCATCAGCGACATCAGGTGTAATCCCGGTAGATCATCAGTAGATCATCATCAACAAACTGATTGCCGTCTTGATTACTGTGATCAAATTTCATGCGATGATTTGAAATCAGTGATATTATTATCGCCTTCAAAATCATGTTCACTTGACCCAGTCCCGACATTCATTTTGAAAGAACTCTTGAGAATATTGCTCCCATTTTTGCTCCAGATAGTTAATCAAAACATCAGTTCATCGAAAATTCCGAAATCACAAAAAAAGCGATAATAAAGAGGTAATCTCGGAGACGGCAAAGTGGTTTTTCCAGCAATATTATTGCTATCTATTTGCAGCAGACTTGCAACTGTTGCCTGACTGATATCTCCCATACTCCAGTAGTATGTTAACTGAAACAAGCGAAAAGAATTGAACAAAACGTAAATAAGTTCTTTTTTGAAAATTAAATCACAATGGTAATTTAAAAAAATTTTTACCATAATGTACTGGTCTAATTTGAGACGGTTTTTCCATAAAAGCTGCCGCTTCTTATGGTTTTTGTCTTGCCGCAACCAGTAGTGTTGGTGCAGCGCCAAATTTTACCATCGCAGGCTTTATGGTCTTGTAATTTCATTGCACGACCACAAACGCAAGTCATGCGTGACGCAAGCAACTCGTGTTGCATTGCCCAATTGATTGCATCGTTTGTATCACGAATTCTATCCATTAATTGGAAAGACGAAACGCCATGCAAAACAGGATAATTCATTTTTTTGTTTAGACGCGACAAGAGCAGACGCGGTTTGTTTTAAAAGTGAAACTATATTTTCAACAGATACGTTTAAAATTTTGTTACACATTTTATCATATTTTTATAACTTTATTGAGGTTTTGTGGTTTTTCTAGTCAAAATTGGTTTAAACTTTTGATTTTTTTAGCTTCTGTAATTCTAAAATATGTTTTCGGAATTTGGCATCTTTTCACAAGCTTACGACTTTGCTTTTATTATTTAGTTTAACTTTTAGTTGTAACGTGGGAGGAGCTGGTGTGTTGTTTTTTAAACTGTTGACTATAAGTAAATATTGCTGGAAAAACCACTTTGCCGTCTCCGAGATTACCTGATAAAGAAAGTTGATTTATCACCGGTTTCGGTCAGCAGTTACAGGCCAATATCAAATCTTAGCTTCATCTCGAAAATAATTGAAAAGGTAATCGCCAAGCAACTGTTGAATTATCTTCACAAAAATTTGTTAATACCTAAGTTGCAATCAGGATTTGGTCTGGTTTTGCCACGCAACAACAACTTCAGCAGCTACAATCTCTCATCAAAAAACTAATTCGCTTCAACTACCTACCTGCATCATATCCTACCGTCACTCAGATATTCAACACACTCGATTCAAGGCTGTTCAAGAAAATAGAAAATAACAACAACCACGTCATCCATCCTCTACTACCACAAATCAAAACTACAACACACAACCTTCGTCAGCGCAAACATAACTATCAAGTCGTCGCCCAATCTACATACAAGGAAAAGACCTTCATCACAAGACACCTCAAACATATTAGCATTTAAGAAAACTTTATCATTACTGAATTAGTTTTTACTTATTGATCACCTCACTAACTCATTAAGTCATCATTTAGTCTATTAATATGTCATCAAATATGTTAATACTCATTAAAACTTTTTCACACACAGGCCTCGCCTTTATTTTTATCGATCACCTCACTAAGTCATCATCTAGTCTATCAATTTGTCGTTACTTTATTTTATATTCCATCGTCAATTACTTTTCTTTTATTTCTCTTATTATTGTTATTTATTTTATTCTAAAATATTTTATTTTTCATGTTTTATCATTTCTCTTCCTCACTTTTTGTATTTATTTTCTCACTTATTTGTTTAGTTTTAATTTTGTTCCACTGCCTTGCATGTTGTTACAGTTTCTGCGTCTGTCAGATCATGATTTTAAAGAATAATAAAAAAAAGGATTTGGAAAACATCACTCAACTGAAACCGCCCTGTTGAAGGTACTCTTAGATGTATTTGAAGCGGTTGATAATGGAAACATTGCCATGATTGCACTAAGACGTTAGTGCGGCGTTTGATACTGTCGATCATGAGATTTTATTAAATCGGCTCAAAATATCGTACGGTATAGATGACTCAGCTCTAGATTGGTTTTCGTCGTATCTGTCATCAAGAACCCAAACGGTGATTGTGGGTATTAACGGATCAGATGTCGCAAGTTCAGGATTGACTCGCGGTGTTCCGCAGGGATCGGTTCTTGGGTCGTTGTTGTATTTGTTGTATGCGGCCGATATTATTAGGGTAGTTGAAGAAACTGGACTTTAATGTCATTTATAAGTAGATGACATTCAGCTATATGGTTTCTGCCTAGTGAAATCATCACATAATCTTCGGCAAAAGATGTCGAACACAATAGACATTGTTGGTAAATGAATGTCGGCTAATAAACTAGGGCTAAATGTTAAAAAAAACTCAACACATCTGGCTTGGTACTCCACAAAGATTGAAATTGATGAATGATTTTACATCGTCGTTACTCGGTGTTTTACTGGATTCACGTTTGTCAATGGAAGAGCATGTCAAAAATATCTGTGGGAATCGTTTCTATCAACTGCATAGAGTCAGAACCACCAGACGCTTCCTCAATATGGAGTCAACTAAAACACTTGTACATAGTTTTGTCTTTAGTCGAATTGACTTCTACAACTCGATAATGTATGGAGTCAACTTATTCCTACAGGACTGTGTTCAATCAGTATTAAACGCTGCAGCAAAATTGGTAGCTGGCGTTTCTAAGTTTCACTCCATCTCAGTATACATGTGTGGTGAACTCCATTAGCTGCGGTTTCTAGAAAGGGTTAAATTTAAAGTGGCCCTCTTGGTAAGAGACTGTCTGAATGGAAATGCACTAATTTACTTGAGTGAACAACAAATACCGGTATCGAAGGTACATGGACGTAGTCATCTTAGGTTGTCGAACCATGGGGATCTGGTTATTCCCTCCTTTAGTTCATAAAAATATGGACGGCGAAATTTGCTGTAATGGTGGGTGAAATTTGGAACTCACTTCCTGTACAATTAGTTCTGTACAGTTGGCACTGATGTACTTCCTGTGCTTCCTGTACAGTTGGTACTGATGATTCCATCACAGATCGACGGCTGTTCAAAAAACATTGAAACATCATTATTTCAACACTGTACACCAAAGAAAGCGTTTCTGAGGTCTTTTCGAGAGAGGCGCCATACAATTTCTGATACTGATACTGAATTATTATTAAAGATTATTGCAATTTTCAATGTTACCTAATCTATGTTAATTTTTGTTTTTTTGCTTCTCTCTCGATCTTCTTTCTTTTTCCTGAGAGCTTGTAAACGAGACGGTTCGAGGTTCACGTTAGAATAAAGTTAAAATTTTTTACGCCTGAATTGTGTTTGTTTTGTTTATTTTACTTCACAACAAGGTGTCTTGTTAGTTTCAGAACGCTCGTACTAACACTTCTGCTAAATCACTTTCATTATTTAAGGCTGGTCTCAAAACTTTTCTATCTAAATTATTTTTAGATGAATGGCTGCTAAATTGTTATACCAAATTTTTTTTATTGATTATTTCATTCTTTGTCTAAAAAATCAAACTTAATAATAATAGCATAGTGGTAAGTGTTAAGTTTTATGTTTTATTTTAAAACATTATGACTTATGATATACATATATTTTCTTTGGACTAAATGTTTTTTGCTTTGTATGTAACTTCACTTTTCTCTTTTCTGTTGTTCCGGTTGATAAAAAACAAGTCAAAAACGTTTCTAAGTTTACTTCTCTTCTTTTAATGTCTTTCAATATTATATTAATATCATCAGTTAATTAAAACGATCTACGTGACAAGAATTTTAACAGGTTATGGGCCCAGATGGCGTTTTTTTTAACAATTAATTGATTTGACGAAGAAAATTTAAAATAAAGAAATATCGGAATGATTTTCTTTGAAGAATGAAGTGAAGAGAAAACACGTGCTTCTTCATTCTCTTAAAGACGATATTTTGCTTCTAATTAAAAGGTCAAATTGAAAGACAAGGAAGAAATGGATCTATCAAAAGTGCAAATCAAACACTTAGAAGGCAAAAGTAATTGGTTGAACTGAAAATCAAGAGTTTGTATAATACTACGCGGCATTCCTGATGCAATGGACGTAGAAAATGGCAAATTAAAAGGTTCAGATGAATTAAACGATGACACAAATAGAGATGAGATAGCAAAATATCAAATTGCTTTGAACAAATTCAATAAAGCAGATTGTAGTGCTATGATAATTTTGTCAACCAATATGACCTATAAAACGTATGAAAAAGTTCGTTTATTCAGTAATGCCAGAG